AATAATAATGTCTCGACCGAGTAACAGCAGGATATCGGCACTTTCCTTGAGGCTGGTATTCGGCTGGCTATGTGCTTTAAGTGAGAATGGTGATAAAGCAGCTTCAGGAGTAGGAATCTCCTCTTTGGTGTTTGGAATCTGGTTGTACTCAGTGATAGTGGGCAAAGATATTTCCACATTGTCATTCAGAGGAGTAACTACAAGACCACTGGCTCTTCTACCTAAGACTTCTGTAGTGCCGGAACAAGTGCTTGGAGTAAAAGGCATGAGCATCTCCACTTATGTTCAACAGTTCAAAAAACTGAGTGTTCTTGCAAGAGATCTGTTACTCTGATCATCCAGAATAGTATACAGTCTTATGGCCTTTTCAGGTTGACCTTTGGGGTATACACGGACCAATCAAATCTTTGCAGAGGAGTTGTCGCAGAATCCTTCTCCACAGACCTCTGTACATGTAGAGAACACTGGGGGGTAGGTGCTGCTTGATCTTGACGTTCCACGCCTTGTTTTGCCTCAGGAAGATTGTTTGTAAGTGTAGCAAAGTTGTGCGAATATTGATGAAGAGCTTGCACATGGTCATCACTGTCACACTCTATACATTTGATCGCTTTACAGTCCTTTGCAAAGTGTTCCACGGAGGCACAGCATTTGTAGCAAACCCCAAATTTCCTCTAAAGTTTTTTATGTTCTTTGAGGGTTTTCTTTCTGAAGCCGATACATTTCTTAAGTGAATGTGGTTTGTTATGTATTGGACATTGGCGATTTGGGTCCTCGATTCTCTTGTTTTGATCAGTCTTTTCAAGAACTGTAGCAGGTGCAGGATCATTAGTCCTTTTCACTAATGCTGGACCTCTACAGTCTCTGCGCAAACATATGTGTGTTCATAGGTCTTGGAGAGAGTGTATTGAGAAGGTTACAGTCCCCATATGAGCAACTTGGGTCATTCTCAGTGTCTGCAATTCATTTGATGAACTCGCAGAAGTAGGAAAAAGGAGGAAAGGCAACTCTATGTTATTCCTTATACTTTGATCCAAGCGCTGCCCATCTTTCTTGTATTCCATATGGTAGCTTGAGAACAATAGGTTTGATGCCATGAGAGGTGTCCAGGTAACTAAGACCAGGTAAGTTGATGTCAGCCTTAGCAAGTTGAAGCTCTAATAGAACATTGCTGAGTTCTTGAAACTTTAGGTTGCCGTTAGCGGAAATCCATGGGAAACTTTGCAACCTTTTGAATAAAGCATCTTCAATGGCCTCTACGCTGCCAAAGGTATGTTCAAGTCTGCCCCAAGCAGCATTAAGGCCTGCAGCAGGGTTGTCAATATGAACTGCTTTGAGCCTCTTGATGCGTTCAGTGGACTGGTGACCTAGCCATCTGATGAGTAGATCTAATTCCTCAGTGGCATTGATGTCTAGGTCAGTCATTGTGTGTGAAGAATCTGAGACATAAGATACAAACTGAGTGTCTGGAACTGTTGTCTCTTTTGTTTTCACGAGCGGCTTGTTCTAAGCCCCTTAACCTTTCCATGGCTGTGGCATGCTCACATTGTTTTTCCAAAACTTAAATTTCTACCTTTTGGCGTGTGGCTTCAGCTTCTTTCCTCTGCTTTCTGATGTGCGGCCTGAGCCTCCATTTCTGCTTTCTTTTGGGTGAAAGCTGCCTGAATTTTAGAAGCTTCAGCATCAGCACGGGCTTTTATTAGTTGTTGACTGAGTGTAGAAGACCTTGATTGTATGGATTTGGAGATATCTTGAGGAGCATCTAGTAGATGCAGAGCGATAAGATCTGGATTCATGGAGCTGTGTTATTCTCACTTCTGCCTTTGTCTTTATTCGCTCCACTACATTGTCTCTTTCAGGATTGAGCTCCTCAAAACTCATTAATTCTTCCAATGACCTTTTGAGTGTTGTACCACTTTAAGAGAGCAATATATTTAACTCACGGTCTTTGATAATTCTCATAAGCAACATTCAATTGCTGGATAGCGCCCCCTAGTTGTATTGGCTCATGAGATTGTTGGGAGGCAGCAGACAGGCATTTAACAGTATTAGTCCATAAGTCATTAATATTAGACAGCACCACCCGTGGATTAACATAATAGTAACCAAAAGAAGAAACTCTAGTAACAAATTATTTTCAAGTCTCATTTATGGGAACAACTGCATTTTCCCTTTCTGCTTTTTGTCTCTATTTTTCTTCATCAATTTAAATCAACTTTAATGCTTTTAGCGGCGGCACATGGCGAGGTATTTCCTCCTTACCTAAGGAATTCCCCATAACAACAGCAGCGGCAGCAGCAGATTAGTAAGACAATACAGCAATACAACAAAGAACAATAAGTGCTATGTCAGGTGTATACAGGTATTCTATGTCCCGAGCCGAGAGTCCCTTTCTCTCGCTCCTAAACTCCACCCCACCAATCTCCCTCTTAAGTTCAGAAATAATGACCTCGGCAAGAAAAGCATCTCTTTTTCTTAAAAAAATAGAAAAAAAAAATTCTCACTCACCTTGGTGATTATCCCACTCTTCTGACACCAGTACAAAGGGTTGGTGTTGAGTTTTTCCTCTCAATGGGGGCCCCCACCGGTTACACCTGAGCGATAACTTACGATATATCGGGAAATGAATTGCACACCACGCCACAGCTCGTTGCAAGACACTTCAACTTTATTGCGGAAACATCGGCATATATATAAATCTGTAGTCTCTAGGCAGATTATTAATGACCAACCTTTAATATCAACCAATCAAATTCATGCATTTATCTTTAATATTTGCACCTTAATTGTCATTAAACTTTGCAGAACTAGTTTCTGGCCAGATGGTTGTGGTCAGACTAACTCATGATCTTAGCACAACGCCCAGACTACGGCCACGGTCTAACCGAAAGTTACTTCCTCAAAAAACTTGTAAAAAACAGTTAGTTTCCTGTAAAGAATACATACAGTACAAACTTTTCTCTTAATGTTTACAAAAGTCATATATTTTTTAAGCAAACATCTTGTATAACAAAATGGAGCTGATTATGTTATATTATCCTTTCAGGTACTCTTTATGGAGAGATCTGGGGTCTAATAGCCTCCAAATCTCTCCTCTGCCCTTAACATCTGATCGCACCAAGATCGGTGTAATCAGATACTTTAGGCCCCTTTCACATGAACGTTCCGATTGGGTCCGGACCCGATCAGAACCTCTATTCTCTATGGAGTGGCAGATGTAAACGGATATGTGTCCCTTTACACTCGCTGACATCCGATCCGATCTGCCAAAAAGAGACAGATGGGGATCCATTCCCCTTCTGTCCATTGGATCGGATCACATGGCAGTCTGACCGCCCATAGAGGACAGCGGGCCGTGTCCATGTCCGCTCTGTATAAGCGAAGCAGACGCAGACTTGTCATCCATTTGCCCAACAGTGATCAGCAGACAGATCCCCCGCTGAGCAAGAGGATCTGCTGACGGGCCCACCCGGTGTGATAGGGGCCTTACCATTTTATATTCCAGAAAACCAGAAGGGATGAATGCTCATCACTTCCGTCTTCCTGTATCATGGAGGCCATCAGGGCCGATCTGGCCTCTGTTTGCTTCTATGGGACAGGAGAGGCCGAGAGTGCCACAGAAGGTGATGGGAGAGCACTGTAAAAGCAACAAAAACAAAACTCTTTTGCATCGTATTTACATTAGGAGTGTAGTGACATCACAAGTGTTACCTAGAAAAACAAATAAAATATACGTATCCACATTTTCTACCACATTAAAGCCCTCTGACATGAAAAACTGATGTATAATACATTTGGGTAGATTACAAATCCTAAAGGTGTAATGTGCTGAACTGGGACATCACCATAAGTGGTTTAAGGACAGATTGCACCCCCTTTATGTAAATATTAATTCTAACCATAGTTACACTTTAGGGTCAACATCAGAATGTTTCTAGGGTCAAAAAAGGGTTCTTCACAAACAATATCCTACCCAAAAAAAGAGAATTGACTATTCAGAGTCATTGAAGAGAACCGAGTCAGAGGAATTTCAGTCCCCCAGAAGATGCAGTCGTAGTATGTGATTGGTCTATGGAGAGGAGCAATAGCTGAACAGAGAGACAATATAATAAGGAAGTCCAATCTTCTCCTGATGGAATCCCTTAGACTTGTGGCAGGACAAGATGGAACACAAGCAGCCAGCTGGGTGTAAGTGGTACTGTTGAACACATCCCAAACAAAGAGCAGTGAATTGGTGTTGGAAGGCCTACACCAGCTTAGGAATTTGATTTCTCACTGGACAGAGAATTCTCTCATGGCATGGCTGTTGTCCCTGTTGCAGTCCTACCTGTAAAGCTGTCATCCATAAGAGGAGGAGGAACCTGGAAATAAGGCATTGATCACTGGAGGGGAGGTGGAATATGTGAAGGGAGGCATGGACAAGGTGAGCGTAGCTGGAGCCCTCAAGCTAGACGGATATTGGAATAGTCAGCAGAATCTAGAAAAGTCTCTCCCACTGAGGCTTTGGAGGCTTGGTAAGATGCCACTTGACCACTACCTAGTCTTGGTGCTGAGGCAGTGTTGGTAATGCATTAGCCCAGGATCTGACAATGAAGAAAACACTTGGGAACACAGCTCAGTTAATGAATGATGAAAATATATTACATGTTCAGTCAAAGCTCCATAAAAAGGATAGAGATTAAAATCATTAGGAAACACAATTCACTGTCAATACTTGTCTGAAAAAAATAGTCAAAAGGTAAAATAGTCTTGAGCTTCTATCCCTTTAAACCCCCCTTCTCCCCATTACCTCCTGCAGCTGAAGCCTGCGAATCCTCTGGTGTGTGATCAGCTGTGACTTATGTAAAAAAATCTGTTACACTCACAACACGGCTACAGATTTTCTCTGGTGTGGACCCTCTTGTGTGTGTTAAGTTGTTCTCTATGTTTAAAAGATTTGTCACATTGAGAACAGTGATATGGCTTCTCTCCAGTGTGACTCCTCTGGTGTATAATAAGGCTTTCCTTATATACAAAAGCTTTGCCACATTCAGAACACTTGATATGGCCTTTCTCCAGTGTGTGAGTATTCTGGTGCATGATAAGTTTGCTGTTGGTTGTAAACATTTTATCACATTCAGAACACTCAAAGCTGCTTTCCAGTGTGAACTGTCCTGTGTATGATAAGCTCTGACTTAGTTTTAAAAGCTTTATCACATTCAGAACATTGATGTGGCTTCTCTCCAGTGTGAATCATCTGGTGTCTGATAAGGGATGACGCTTGTTTAAAAGTGGTATTGCATTCAGAACACTGATATGGTTTCTCTCCAGTGTGAATCCTCTGGTGTGTGATAAGATCTGACTTCATTGTAAAAGCTTTATCACATTCAGAACACTGATATGGTGAATCTTCTCCAGTGTGAATCCTCTGGTGTTGATAAGATAATCTTCATTGTAAAAGCTTTATCACATTCAGAACACTGATATGGCTTCTCTCCAGTGTGAATCCTCTGGTGTGATGATAAGATTGACTTCTGTGTGTAAAAGCTTTATCACATTCAGAACACTGATATGACTTCTCTCCAGTGTGAATCCTCTGGTGTTTGATAAGATACATTTCATTGTAAAAGCTTTATCACATTCAGAACACTGATATGGCTTCTCTCCAGTGTGAATCCTCTGGTGTTTGATAAGATTTGACCTTTCATTGTAAAAGCTTTATCACATTCAGAACACTGATATGGCTTCTCTCCAGTGTGAATCCTCTGGTGTTTGATAAGATTACCTTTCATTGTAAAAGCTTTATCACATTCAGAACACTGATATGGCTTCTCTCCAGTGTGAATCCTCTGGTGTTTGATAAGATGTGACTTCACTGTAAAAGCTTTATCACATTCAGAACATTGATGTGGCTTCTCTCTGGTGTGAATCCTCTGGTGTTTGATAAGTTGATCCTTTGATGTAAAGGTTTTATCACATTCAGAACACTGATATGGCTTCCAAACCATTTACAACATTGAGAACAATGATATGTCTCGTGTCCTGTGTGAATCCTCCAGTGAACTACGATAAAGACGTTCCATCACCTAAGATATCCATTTGGCTCGACCAGCATGACTGAAAAATTGGTTCTTCAATCCACCTGTACAGAAAAACAAAAAACTCAGAATTCTATATAAAGGGCTAAATAAAGATGTTTTCTATATTTTTTTAATTAAAAAGAAAATTTATGAAAACATCCAAAACATTCAGAGTTGACATCTGAGTACAATCAGTATCACAACATGCATTGTCAGATAATGAAACACATCCAAAGTCAGAAACGTGTAACATAGCGCACAACAGCCTTATGCTATTGGGTTTTCACAGCCATCATGGTCCACTTGGGATAGAAAAATAATATGTTAAAATTCAAAAGTATTCGACACAGTTGACCACCCCCTCCTCCTTAATAAACTACTCTCCCTTGGCATCAGAGTGGCTCTCTCCTGGTTCTCCTCTTACCTTTCCCGACGCTCTGTAAAACTTGAATCCTCCTTCAGCGTTTCCTACAATGGTGCCACCTCCCCTTCCCTCCCCCTCTCTGTTAGGGTCCCCCAGGGCTCTGTCCTTGGACCCCTTCTCTTCTCCATCTACACCTCCTCCCTTGGCAAACTCATACACTCCCACGGCTTCAACTACCACCTCTACGCTGATGACACTCAAATTTACCTCTCCACCCCCCACCTCACCTCCACTTTCTCCGCCCTCATCACCCCACCTCCTAAACGACATCTCTGACTGGATGTCGCTCCATTTCCTCAAGCTTAACCTCTCCAAAACCGAGCTTCTCGTCTTCCCCCTGCTGCCCCCCCCATCCTATCCATCACTACTAACATCACCACCATCAATCCCGTCCCGCAAGCCAAAGTCCTTGGAGTCATTCTGGACTCTAACCTCTCCTTCCAACCTCATGTCAAATCACTTACAAACACATGCAGGCTCCACCTCCGCAATATCGCCAAGAATACGCACCTTCCTTACCCCAGACACCACTAAACAACTCGTACACTCCCTGATTATCTCACGCCTGGACTACTGCAACTCCCTCCTCACCGACCTACCCCAGTGCAGGCTCTCCCCGCTTCAGACCATCCTGAACTCAGCGGCTAGACTCATCCACCTCACCACCCGCTCCAACTCTGCCACCCCCTCTGCTCTCTCCTCCCTCACTGGCTCCACCCCCCTCTGCTTCTCCCTCCACTGGCTCCCTATCGCCCAACGCATCAAATTCAAACTGCTCACTCTGACCTACAAAGCCGTTCACAAACACTGCCCCTAACTACCTCACCAACCTGATTCCCAAGTACCACCCTACCCGTACCCTCCGCTCTTCACAGGACCTCCTTCTATCTTGCTCCCTGGTCTCCTCCTCACACACGCACGTCTGCAAGACTTCTCCAGGTCCTCCCCCATCCTCTGGAACTCCCTACCCCAATCCATCAGACTGTCACCTTCCCTCCTCACCTTCAGGCGCTCCCTGAAAACCCACCTCTTCAGGGAAGCCTACCCCACCCCTCACCTAACTGCTGCTCTCCTTCATTCCTCCTACCACTCCATCCCCCACAGCCACTTCCTCCTGTACCACTACCCCCTCCCTTCTAGATTGTAAGCTCGAAAGAGAAGGGCCCTATAACCCCTCGTGTGCTGTTTGTAGGTGCTGTAATGTTTCTGTAATGTTTCATGTATTGTCCCCCCTCTATTGTACAAACAGCGCTGAGCAAACCCTTTGGCGCTATATAAACTCCATGTAATAATAATAATAATAGGAGTACACTTTGCATCACATTACCATCTTACAGTGAGGAACAGAAGTATTTGAACACCCTGCGATTTTGCAAGTTCTCCCACTTAGAAATCATGGAGGGGTCTGGAATTCACATTGTAGGTGCATTCCCACTCTGAGAGACAGAATTTAAAAAACAAAATTCAGGAGAGATCACATTGTATGATTTGTAAAGAATGTATTTGTCTCGCACGGCTGAACAGAAGTATTTGAACCCCTAAGAAACAGCAAGAATTCTGGCTCTCAAAGACCTGTTACTGCACCTTTAAAAAGTCCACCTCTACTCCACTCATTAATCTAACTTAGTAGCACCTGTCTGAGCTCTTTAAAGACACCTGTCCACCCCACAGTCAGTCAGACGCTGACTACTACCATGGGCAAGACCAGGAGCTGTTAAAAGACACCAGAAACAAAATTGTGGACCTGCACAAGGCTGGAAAGGGCTACGGGGCAATTGCCAAGCAGCTTGGTGAAAATAGATCAACTGTTGGAGCAATTGTTAGAAAATGGAAGAGGCTAAAGACGACTGTCAGTCTCCCTCGGACTGGGGCTCCATGCAAGCTCACACCTCGTGGGGTATCACTGATGAGAAGAAAGGTGAGGAATCAGCCCAGAACTACAAGGGAAGAGCTGGTCAATGACATGAAGAGAGCTGGGACCACAGTTTCAAAGGTCACTGTCGGTAGAACACTACGCCGTCATGGTTTCCAATCATGCATTGCATGGAAGGTTCCCCTGCTCAAGTCATCACATGTCCAGGCCCGTCTGAAGTTTGCCAATGACCATCTGGATGATCCAGAGGAGGCATGGGAGAAAGTCATGTGGTCAGATGAGACCAAAGTAGAACTTTTTGGTCTAAACTTCCCTCGTCGTGTTTGGAGGAAAAAGAAGGATGAGTTGCATCCGAAGAATACCATCCCTACTGTGAAGCATGGGGGTGGTAACATCATGCTTTGGGGGTGCTTTTCTGCGAAGGGGACAGGGCGACTGCACTGTATTAAGGAGAGGATGAATGGGGCCATTTATTGTGAGATTTTTAGCAACAACCTCCTTCCCTCAGTCAGAGCATTGAAGATGGGTCGTGGCTGGGTCTTCCAATGTGACAACGACCCGAAGCACACAGCCAGGAGAACCAAGGAGTGGCTCAGTAAGAAGCATATCAAGGTTCTGGAGTGGCCTAGCCAGTCTCCACACCTAAATCCAATAGAACATCTTTGGAGGGAGCTGAAACTCCGTGTTGCTCAGCGACAGCCCCGAAACCTGACAGATCTAGAGGAGATCTGTGTGGAGGAGTCGGCCAAAATCCCTGTTGCAGTGCAAACCTGGCCAAGGACTACAGGAAACGTCTGACCTCTGTAATTGCAGACAAAGGCTTCTGTACCAAATATTAACACGGATCTTCTCAGGGGTTCAAATACTTCTGTTCAGCCGTGCGAGACAAATACATTCTTTACAAATCATACAATGTGATTTCCTGAATTCTGTCCTCAGAGTGGGAATCCCCTCCAATGTGAATGTCAGACCCTCCATGATGGAGAAGTGGGAGAACTTGCAGAATCGCAGGGGGGTTCAAATACTTCTGTTCCTCACTGTATTTGCATGTCTGTCTTTGTGGTGGGAGCGCGCCGTATGGCCAGCTCCCAGCACAGAGGCGGGGGTCTCACTGAGACCTCTGGGTCCCATACTAATGATCAAAACTCAGAACTCCCAACTCTGGGTCACCTGATCACTGTGAGCCTCTGATTGGCTATCACAATGAGGAGTCACTGTGAAGCTCGCCCCACGTGTTTTCTTACATTGTCTCTCTCTCTCTCAGAAAAAAAAAAAAAAACAGTGTGTAAAAAAATCAATCAATAATAATATTAATAATAATAATAACAGTAATTTAAAATAAAAAAAAAAAAAAATACGTAGATGAAGGTTTGATCTAGGACAGTGCCAGGGTTAGTGTTTGGGTCAAGGTCAGGGTCAAAGGTTAAGGTCAGAGTCAGTATTTTGGGGGGGTTATTTATTTATGTAAATTAGTATCAGTGTCAGTTAGTGTCGGTGTGTTTTAGTAGGTAAAAAAAAATGTAAAGAAAAATGCTGCGCAGTACTGTTTCCTGGGCTGTACTACGGGTACAAACAGCAACTAACATACACATACGAGGTATTGCTGCCATCGTCGGGGGCAGGAGAATTGTTGGGGGTTGTCCTTTGGTGGTGGGTTATGGCAGCAGCAAGAAATATACAGCTAACTTTAGAAAAAATGATGATTTTCACTATTTTGGGCCTGTTTTCCTTTGATCACATAAAAATAAAATCAGGAGACGTCCATTACCATTTACCAACTGGATGCACAAAGTAGTTGTGATGACGGTTTCACTAACGCATGTCAAAGCTGCAAAATTGTGCTTAGGCATGAACATTTGTTGTACCTTCAGGCGTGAAGGGGTTTGGGTTCAGTTTGATGTCATTGAAAAAAGCTTGATTAATGGTGCCGACAATCGTGTCCCAATATCTATGAAGATTATGTGTTTAGAGTGGTTCTGAGGGCCCAGTTGACACCAGAATGTGATGTGGGAAATCTGAGGTCCATG